TAAATATATCTTTATTGATTTCAGAGAGAGGAAAGGAGAGGGAGAGAGAGAGACAGAAACATCAATGATGAGAAAGTCATTGATTGAGCCCGCAACCCGGGCATGTGCCCTGACCGGGAATCGAACCCCGATCCCCTGGATCCTAGGTCGACGCTCAACCGCTGAGCCAAGCCCGGCCGGGCGATTAACTTTTCTTCTAAGGAATTTCTTTCACAATGCATCTGTTTTGGGACATATTTTTATTGTTGTTCCTATGATTTCTCAAATACACCTTTACTTCTCTTTTTTTTTTTCACTTCACATTTATCATGTGTCCCTTGCAGCTAGGCTCTGTGCTGGATGCAAAGGTGAGCGTAACATGGACTTGTGAAAACAAGCTCACAGTTCAGTGGGGAAAGGATAGCTAAGAGGATAATTTAAAAAGAAAAAAGAAAATGCTATGGAAAGTACAATGTTCTAGTTTTGCATAAGATTTCACATGTAAAGCTGGCAGGTTTTGTGAACACTAATGAGATGAAGCCTTTAAAACTTCTTGGACATAAGAATAATGTATTTTGGGGTTTTTTTTTGTTTTTGTTTTCATTTAATGACAAGATATTTTGAGGTTTCACTTGTATGTATCATTGCATGTTGTGTGTTTTTTGAGTTAGAAATGTGGGGTGTTAGATTAATTTTCTGAGGTGTGGTGGGTGACTGGCCTTCAAGGAGAGCCTCCTTCTACCACCCTTATCTCTGGGCCTTAAGATGGCAGTAAACTCGGGGGCTAAAGATAACCCCAGCTCTTCTGCAGTTATCAGCACTGTCTTCACTTTCTTACTGCATTTACAGCTCTATCTGTCTTCTTCAGAGGTTACTCTTCCCTACCTCCTCCTGCCCCCAAAACAATTTCCCCTACAGAGGTCAGGCTGCCTCCTTTCTGACTTTTCAGTCTCATTTGCACATTCATGTAGTGTCTTGCCCTCAGTTGTTACCATCCTCTCCCAAGATCTTAAACTTCAAGTCTTACAGTCTGTCTTTTTTTTTCATAGGAGATCAGAAACTAAAGATCTTTAACTTACTGTCGTTTTGTTGTGTTTTGAGAAAGGGAAACAGGATAAAATTCAGGCATCAGTTAAATGGAAGGGAATGGTTTAAGTCCATAGTTCACAGGTACCTCAGAGGGAATTTATGTATGGAAAGAATGAGAAAGATCAGATCTGAGCAAAACCTGGTGGGAGTCAGAGAGGCTAGTGTAGAGAAAGGGGCATGATTCACTCAAAAAAGAAAGCTGCAGGGGCTCCTACAGAAAGCTCTTTTGGGGAGCTCCTCACAAGGGTCATTGATAAAGACATCAATGCAAATTAGAGAACCACAGCCATTCCTTAAACATCATGGGTTCAGGAAGGTATTCTCAGGCAGGGATGGAAAAGGGCTGAGAGACTGAAGTTCTTTTCTATGGTCTTAGGAAGAAGTTAAGAAGATTCACTTAAATTATATTTTGAAACAGACAGAAGGTATTAAATAGTTATTAGTGTGCAAAATTCAATCAATGATAAATAAAGGTGAGGCCTAGAAAGGGATTCATGGATATAATTTATTTAAGTTTTCTCAGAGCCTTTGGCAAGTTTCCACACACAAGAACGCTTTCTAAAAATTGAAGTACTCTGGGATTCTAGGAGATAATTTCTCCTATGTGTGATTCAAGACAGTAAGCAGTGGATAAAAAAGAGTATCTGAGGAAGTTTAGACTACGAGAGTAGTTTCTAAGTTGAGAAATGATCTGAAAGGGGTGCTCTTTCTTGACATTTTCAGATTCATGGATCATTCTAAATTATTTTGGGTAGTAGAACTTACTGTTTTGAAGTTGGGGAGAAGAGACCCTTTTACGTAGGACCCCATAATGTTAAAGGCCATCACAGATTTTTAAGCTAGACAGAGTTTAGATCTGACTCTGGCAGTTAATGGAAATCTAATGCACTCAACCAAGTTTACGTTGATGCTAAGAATATTTTTCTAAGAAAATAAAATTGAACACTGCAACTCAACCACTACCTTTTATTATGATTGCTATGAATCTGCAGGAAGGCCAGTTTATATCACCGCTCGTTAATGCTGTTAACTACCTCAATAAAAGGGAATATCTAGAACATATTAGTAAATATTAATAGATTGCTGTTATTTGCCTTTGGTCTTTTAATTACAAGATTGTTACCCTGTATTAGTACATGTAAGTTATAGGCAGTGAAATGAAGTCTTCGACTCTGAACTATCTCGGACTATGGGGGAGGGCCAGCAGGAGCTGAACCATTTCTTTTTCACGATTGTCATGCCTTCAGGTTCTCAGCTTTGTGCTCATTCTTTTTATTTATTGGGAAACAACCTTCTTATTTTATAACCGCTCTGTGTTGGAGGCAAATCTATGTCCTATTGTTTGTTGGATAGAATACCTCTTTATTTATGCCTGTCCAGATGGAGAAAACTCAACTGACTGTATGTAGACTTGTGCCAGTTCCAGCTATTGGGGGGGTGGGTAAGAATCCCCCCCTCTTTAAATATTCATTATGGGCTAGTCTTAATGAAAGATTTTACTTAGCTGACCTTTACTGTTGTTCGATGTTTTTATGTCAGGTATGTGGAATTTAACCTGCTGTATGATCGGGGTACGAAGTTTGGCCTCTTCACTCCAGGATCCAGGATTGAAAGCATCTTGATGTCTTTACCTCTGACTGCCCGGTAAGAATAACTCGTAATAATTATTCCCCCACCCCAAGCCCCACCAAATATGAATGTTAACACTGCAGGTGTCTTACCCAAAGACTTCACTGGTTTTGACTTTGCTGATTTTATAAGAAAATCAGTTATATAATTAAGGAAAATCAAATTGGGTATTTTCAGGGAAGTCAGGATGAATGATAGACCTTCGTGTGTGAGAGCAGGGAAAGGAGGGAGGGAGGGAGGGAGAGAGAGGACGGGGAATGATGGTGCCTAGGGGGCCAGATTATCTTCCCTAGTAGTTTTCTAGGAAGAGCTATTTATTTGAACATACCAGTTTTTAAAACTTAATTTTATTTAGATATTATGGCACTTGTGAGGAAATGTCTTACTCTCTAGTGTGAAGTATTAAGCTGGTTTGAAAGTATGAGGGATCATTTCAGGTGCACAGCATTCTCTCTGCTTTCCATGCCGCTGTGCTGAGCTAGCTTCCTGGAGGGCAACTGCATCTGTGTGGGGAATTTTACAGACAGATATATGTACGGTGGTGCTATTAGGTTAATAAGGATCTATAAATGACCTTGTTGCCTTTAAGAAAATGAGAATGATATATGTCCAGACTGAAATAGAAAAGATCAGAAAACAAAACAAAATTACCATTGTTTTATAAGAGCTAGAATCTTTTTTTTCCTCCATGAGTTTAAATGTCCAAATAAGAATGGACTATTGGCTGTCATTGACAGTCTGCCTTGCCTCATTCTGCTGTTCTGATCTAGCCTTGTGAAATCGATGCCCTCTGTGGTTGTCACTGCCTTCACAATGGCATTGGCTCTATCGTTTAACATTTTGGGATCTCATGTTGTCGGCTAGAAGCCCACGCACATCACTGTTAGGTATTCCTGCCACTGTAGAGATGAGATGAAAATGAAAAGTAGAGATGAGTTCCTTAAGGCCTCTGGTAGTCAGCCTGATCACTGCTCGCCCCTAATTATAATGCAGATTCCCAGCAGCTGTGGGTGGATTAGAAATCACTGCCTTGCTCAGTTGAATAACATTAACCCAACAGGTCACTTTTAGCTTATAGCCTATAGCAGGGGGTCTGCAAACTTAAGGCTACAGGATAAATCCAAGTCCACTTGTGTGCTTTTGTATGACCCTTAAGCTGAGAAGGATTTTACATTTTTTAAAGGATTTATTAAAAACAAAAGAATATGCAAGAGACCATATGTGGCCCCACAAAGGCTAAAGTATTTGTGTGGCCCTTTACAGGAAAAGGTCTAAACCAGTGTTTGCCAGATTTCATACCACAGCTTAACCATTCTGACCATATCTGTATACTATCTGATGTATTGTTTACTTTAATTTTATATTATTTTTTCTGAGAGAGAATTTATTTTAAAAGGCAAACCAGTATTGTCACCATAAATAGAAAGTAACAAAATAAATGTGTAAGTGTGAAGCTAAAAAGAGTTGGCCCATGGATCATCTGGGGTTAGAACTTTACAAAACCCTGGTTTATAGTAAAAGTATATTTTGCTTCTGGGATAGTAGCCAAAGTGTGCTCAGGAATTAAGAAACTTTATTTCTTTAGCAACAAGAATTTTTAAAAAGCCTAGTGGGTGAAAGGCACATTAGGCACAGTGGAGACAGAGAGGTATGAGACATTTTTTACTTTAGAATTTTATTTTTCATTTATATTTAAGTAAAGAGGTATGTGTATCATTTATTTATTACATTTTTTTGCTTCTGTTTGGGTGTACATAGATGGGAGTACATGCATTCACCCTCAGAGAACTCCAAAGAGGCAGAAATTCTGGAAGTTCTTCGCCATCCAAGGGACTGGGTGCATTGATGGAGGTGAAGCAGCTGTCCTGGGGCTTGGGGACACAGAACGTGTGCTCCATTCCACTGGCTGGCACCGTCGCCACAGTGTGGCAGTTAGTTATCTTTGTTTTGAGCCCCAGTCTTCACTCTGGAGCCTGCCTCCCTGGCAAGTGGTGAAATGTGTTCTAAGCACCACGGGTTTCTGTTGGATGTTGTCAGTCACGGGAGGTGAGGTGGCAGCTTGTCAGAGTCCATTGGTTATACTTTTAGAATAATTTTATATGACTAGTTTACAAAATATGACATTGGGTTTCCTGTATTGAGTTAAGGGAATCTAAATTTGTAATTTGTATCAGGGAACTTCTCTTTTTTATTTCTTATATTTTTAAAAACTTTGTTTCTGCCACAAAAATGTGTTGTGGGATAAATATATTTTCATTAATTCAATGAGAGTGTGCTTATTAGTAATTTTAGGAAGCAACCTGAAATGAAGGTAAAACTTTTACTTTGTCATTACTGAAGTTTCTTTAATCATAGTGTTTGTATGTATGTATCTTGCTGTAGAAATCATAATATTGTAAATACTCTTTTTATTTTTATAATGATAGGTATTTAGGAACACTTGAAATTTTCTTAATCTCTGAAGATGCTACAATTCAGTGATTGCCTGTGGTTATTAACTCTCCATCACTGTTATTTCAATAAGGGACATCTAAGTTGTAATTTTGATTTTTGTAAAACTAGGATTTGTTAATGTTGGGATTCTCTGTACTTTTGAATGTGAAACCTTATAAGCATAGATTCTGATATTAAAAATATTCTATTCCAGAGAGTTCTATATGGAAATTTAAACTAAAAAAAAGTCCTGAGGATGTTATGAATGTAGGAAGTGTTTCTCATTTGGTGATAAATATTTTCCTTCTTTAATTAAAGCAAACATAAAATAACTGTTATGAGTGTGAGAAACGTAGGCATCTTATAAATATATTTTTCTTATAAAATGGACTAGTTGAAGTTGCACTCTTTTTAAATTAGAGATTCTGCAACTCATATTTACTTTTAAGAGAAAATCACAGCAAAATTCTTAATGTGGCTTCTTTGTTCACATAATAACATGAATGTGTGTTGTTTTTTTAATCTGTAGTATATTGAAGTTTGTAAGGAGTAGTGTCTTCCTACATACTATTAAGCATTATCTTGGAACACGTTGAATGTATGTGACTGTGACTCTTTAAGGCTGGAAAATTTATGAATTCTTCAGTTGTCTTACAACATATCTGCTGATTAAATTTTATTATGGAATATGACTTAAAAATGTATTTTTCACTTTTTTTCAGGATAATTTACACAGAGAAGACAAATATTTCTAAGTTATAAAAGCATAGTTCCTCATTCCTAAATATTTTACCCCCCAAAAATATAAGTTTTGCACTCAAGTTTTCGTGGCAGCTTTACTCACAATAGCCAAAAATAGAAATAACACAAATACCGTTCAGCAGGTGAGTGGGCTAAAGAAATTGTGATATATCCATATGTTAAAATACTACTAAGTAATGAGAAGGCACGACTTGATAAATGCAACAACATGGATGAATATTAAAAAAACATAATGCCGAGTGAAAGAAGCCAGACACAAGAGCATGCACTGTATAACTACATGATATGCAAACCTAGAAAAGTCAAAACTCATAACAGAAAGCAGATCAGAGGTTGCTGGGGGCTGGCGCTGGGAAACGGGTTGTGAAATGAATATTTTGAGGTGATGGAAATGTTCCGTATATTGAATGTGGCAGTAGTTACCAAACTGTATACATTTACCAAAACTTCTGAACTTCACACTTAACCCTTTGTGGTCGTTTGTCTACTCTCAGCCACCAAAGCTTTTTTACCGTTCCGGTCGTATGTCTGCTCTCAGCCGCCACAGCAAGGAACCGTACGAATCTTAACTCTATTTATTCATGTATCAGTTCATAACTTCTCTGAAAGCTCTTAATTCCGACCAGTACGACACCCATGTCCAAATTTAATATGACCGCAAAGGGTTAAAATCATGGAATTTTGTTGTGTATATAATTTATACTTCAACAGTGCTGGTTAAATTAAAAAAACCTATAATATGGGCATATAGGAATGAATGTTCAGATAAACTCAGTTTACCTTTTACAATAAAAAGTTATCATATAGATCTGCTAGCATATTTAGTTGTGTTTAGGGCTGTTGAGGTCTGGGCATTGGACTAAGATAAAATTTCAAAAATTTTCTGTTCATATCAGTTTTTTACACCCTTCATTGTATTTCTCTTACAGGTGAAATGGGGGGGGGGAGTAACATAATTGCATAACTTTTGGAAAAAAGATCATTCTGCCGTTATTCACAGTAAATTTCTCTTTCAAATTTATATTGGTGCCTATTCTGAATCTACTGGAATCCCAGGGTGCACTTCCAAATGGCTCGAGTACCTAAGTGCTGCTGTCTTCTGCCCATTAGTGGTCATAGGGATGGAAATTTGGGGGGGAGGGGATGTACACGCTTTGGGGCAAATTCCTAATCCCTACTTTTCTATCAACATACTCCGCCTTCCCACCTATTGAACTCAGTGTTTGAAATAGACTTCTGCATGACAACAAGCACCAGATGAGAAGGCCAAATAATGCGTGTTTTATGACTACTTATCCTTTCATGTATCTTGCTGTAAAAATTCATCAAGGTGGAATCATCTGCGGGTTTTTACTCACATCAGTGCCCAGGCTAGGCCGCTTGAAGGTGAGGCTCAGCTTGGACTCCTATTTCATCAAACAAGGCCTGCTTGGTTACTTTCTGGTCTAGCCCCAGAGGTTATGTAGCGTCCTTCCTCCACATTCCATTAGTTAGTTGAGTCACTGAGCTAGCTCCAGATTCGAGGGGAAAGGAATAGACCTTAACTCAGTGGTAGGAGTAGCAAGGAATTTGTGGCCACCTTGGAAACCACCACATAGCCTTTCACACCCAAAACCACAGAAGCGACTTGACTCTTTCCCTCTCTCATTGCCCTAATAAAATCCTGTTGAGTTCACCTTTGAAATGCTTCTTGATTTCCTTCCTCTGTTTGCTGCCACCACTATTGTATTACCCCCTGCCACAAGTATTAATTACGTATTTGAAACCCCTCATTTAAAAATTTGATCCTGAGAAGAGGGGAAGGGGTGGGGTTGTGAGCGCTGCTCTGTGGAGTTGGGGGCAGCCTGCCAAGGTGCCATGGCTGCTGCCGCTGAGCCTAGTCACCCGTGCCTCGGTGGCAGGAGCCTGGAGCAGAGCTACAGCCCCAACCTCTCCCAAGAGGTGCTGTTCGAAATCTTTCGCTCCCTGCATACCCTGGCTGGGCAACTTAATTTCAGAGATGATGTGGTGAAAATTACAATCGATTGGAACAAGCTCCAGAGCCTCTCTGCATTCCAGCCTGCTTTACTCTTTAGAGCTCTTGAGCAACACATTTTATATGTACAGCCTTTTTTAGCGAAACTTCAGCCTCTAATTAAAGAGAATATAACTGTTGCTGAAGAGATAGGAAAAGCAGAAACAGGGAACAAGAATGAAGTAGAGGCCACATTTCCCATTGGCAACCTACAGGAGGAAGAAAAGCACAAAGACTGTGATTTAGGAGATGTGAAAAAGGCGCAGATCCATTTTGATCCAGAAGTAGTTCAAATAAAGGCTGGAAAAGCAGAAGTTGACAGATGAATATCTGCATTTATTGAAAGAAAGCAAGCAGAAATCAGTGAAAACATCAGGGAATTTTGCAATGTTATTGATTGTAATCAAGAAAATAGTTGTGCAAGAACTGATGCTGTTTTCACCCCATACCCCGGATTTAAAAGTCATGTAAAAGTTTCTAGAGTTGTGAATACATATGGACCACAGGCTCAACCTGAAGGAATTCAAGGGTCAGGTCATAAACCAAGCAGCATGCTCCGAGATTGTGGTAATCAGGCTGTAGAAGAACGGCTACAAAATATTGAGGCTCACTTGCGGTTGCAGGCAGGTGGTCCAGTGCCAAGAAACATTTATCAGAGAATTAAAAAACTTGAGGATAAAATCCTTGAATTGGAAGGCATCTCTCCTGAGTATTTTCAATCTGTAAACTTTTCTGGCAAAAGAAGAAAAGTTCAACCACCTCAACAGAACTACTCACTAGCTGAACTTGGTGAGAAAATCAGCGCTCTCAAACAGGCCCTGCTTTGGAAATCAAGAGAAGCAGATGCCATGGCAGCTCACCACCTCCTATGAAAAACTCCTCTCATCCTTGTACTTTTTTATATAAATGTATGTAACTTGCACTGTAATTAATTAAATGGATGCATATTTATCAATGTAGACGTCCCTCTGAAGTCCAGGTTGATTTTCACAGGCATCCAGCTTGCAGCAAGTAACCTTCCAGTATTCCAGTGAATTTTGAAATAGTTAATGCATTGAAATTAGCGTTTTTAGAATGTATTTCCTTCTGTTTTAAAGGACGTATTTTTGAAATAACAAAACTTAATTTGAAAGTGCATCTTTTATTATGTGTGTATATCCCACAAAAAGATGTTTTGAATAGTGATATTTATATTTGTAACACTTATGTTAACCAGTTTATTAGTTTAAATCAGTACTTTGTACATAATAGGCATTCAACAAAAAATTGACCAAAATGAATTTTAAATGAATGGATACTTTTTTTTTCAAATGTCAGTTTTAATGTAAATAAACAGTAGATTCCACCTTTATCTCCTTATTGACTGTGTGACCTTAAGCAAGTTACTTATTAATCTAATCTTTCTTTGTGCCTTAATTTCCTTATCTGTAAAATGGGCGTGATAATAATAGAACCTATGTTTGTCATGAAGAATAGGTGAGATCATCATGCACGTACAACTTTTGAAACTGGCCCAAGGAAAGTATTCAATAAATGTTAGCTATTATTGTTTAAAAAAAAAAATTTTTTTTGATCCCTCCCAAAGAAACACATTAAATTCCAATTTCATAATAAACCTAAATTACCACATTTAAATTTAAGTTAGTGAAACTTAAACATTTACAGATGTCTTGACTAAATCCTGAGTTTAGTATTGTTACCTGAAACCAAATCATCGGTCGTACAATATAAAGCCTCACAGACCTGTTTCTACAGGTGGTATAATAAATGCCAGGTACACACTAGCGTATACTAGCAGAGCAAGGTAATTGAACTGCATTCCATCTCCCAATCGATGGACTTTGTTTTGATTCTAGAAGCTAACTCATCAGTATTTTAAAGACTCCTTCACCTATTTAATTTTTTTAAATCTTTTACTGATTTCAGAGCGTGGAAGGTAGAGGAAAAGAGAGACAAAAACATCAATGATGATAGAGAATCATTCACTGGCTGCCTCCTGCACACCCCCTGCTGGGGAGTGAGCCCGAAACTCGGGCATGAGCCCTGACTGGGAATCGAACTGTGACCTGGTCATGGGTCGATACTCAACCACTGAGCCACTCGGGCTGGGCAATCCACCTATTAAATCCTATTCATCAACATATGTTTGAACATGAAGCTTCGCATAATCTAATCCGTCATGATTTTAATGAGTTTCAATGAGTTGACACAAACACAGTCATTTGGCTTTGTAGTCATTTGGAGTTGCAGCATTGACCCTGTCATGAACTCATTTGCTTATGAAATGGTTGGGGAGGTATCAAATTAAATTCACAAAGTACCAGTTGAATGCCTCTGTTAATTTTAACGGCAAGGGAATAATGCATTTATAAATAAGTCTTCATAATGATCTATGCTGAGGTCTGGTCAAGGTTGTTCCCATTTTCTGATTTGGTGAGACATCCAAGGCTTTTAGAATGTTGCATGCCTGCTGCCTAACATACTTCTAACCGTAGAAATAATATGCAAAACTGCAACCCAACTTATTAGTTTCTTATAGTTCAAGTTGAAATTTAACTGAAAAATAATTCAGTAGGTATCCTCAAAGATTAATTTTATTATTTTAAATATTTACATCAATACAAACTTAACTTCTGCGGAAAGTTTTAAGTGTGTTTGATCTATATACTATTCACATGAATAATGTAAATATTTCTAGAAAGCAATAAGGACCCACTTTTCATCTTCACCTCCCTCTCCCCTGCCGTTCTAGTGATGTGAGGGAGATACGGGATCTTCCTGGGAACAGTGAGTCTTCTCCCCTGACACCATAGCATGTGGGTCAGAGACAAAGCCAAACCCGAATCCCAGCTCACAGAATCTGTGAGTATAATAAAATGGCTGCTGTTTTATGTCACTAAACTAGGGCAGCTTCTTAAACAGCA